ATGCCAATTTTCGCCAGAAAATCTTGTTTAGTGATGATGTTACGCCTAAAATCGATTGCTATCTCACATCAAAATACAAAGGTGTATTTAAGTGAGGATAAAAGCTTTTCATAGCAACAAGAAAAATAAGCGCTGATATTATATATATTCCAAGTGGATTGTTATCATTTTAAATCGGCACAAAGGTTGATGCATTATTACATATGTAGATGCAGTAAAAAATTCATTTTCGGTATTTAGATGATAATAAAACCTAACAGTTCCTTTAACGTACAATGTGCTTTTAAAAATGCTATAACCAGAGGGAAATTTAATCACAAAATGCTCGTTATTGTCAAAAGGTCTAGGTATTCTATTTGTTTGTTGTTTATATAAAGAAAGTTATTTGAGGTTAATAATCATAACTTTAAAAAAAATATAAATCAAACTTGGACTTCCGCCCTTCAAAGCTTTGGCTTCAGATAAGCCAAGTGGCTCAAACGTGGTACACTCATATAAAAGATTAATGGGAATCCCATATTATAAACCATGTCATTTATGCAAATTTATACTAATCCAGGGCATGACTAGCTCTCTATGAAAACGTGATCTCACACTTGAATTAAGTCTCTCACTCCATATATATATATATAAAATTAGGTAACAATTCTTTATTTTGGAAACATGAACATCTCAGTCTGTCAAATTAAAAAAAAATGCGTACACTGACTTAACGTGCGAAACGCAGAATTTGACCCATGCGTATTAACCCGCGTACATAAGGGACAGACGAAGAAGACATGCTTCTAGTAGCACGTGATGCACGCGCAGAGTGTTCTGCCGCCAAACCGGCCGAAGTGCTCATATTTCTTCTAGAAGCTTCTTTCATCAGTTGGACGGTCAAGTTTGCTAACCTGTGTGCATTTTTGTCGGACATCCAGTTGGTAGCGTAGTCAAGGTTATACAAAAACTGCCCCCGAAACTTCCGGAGGTAATGAATGCAGGGCGTGTGGAGGTCCTGCATGGCCGTAGAACTGACGATCTTGGTGACCTTCACGTGCTTATCCTCCGCCGGAAAATCCAAGTCGTAGTCGCCATTGTTGGACGTTTCAAAATCGTGATCGCAAACCTTGGACGCCATTGCCATTCTGATGCCCTTTTCGAAGGCTAAACTGCTGAGCACGCGATATTCTTGCAGAACGCGATCATGGTCCAAAGCGTCGTGGAAAGTCTTGGTGATCTGTTGAGCCTGTGGCCAAAGTTGGTCACTTGTGTCAGCTGGAATTGACAAAGGAAGGCGGTGGGGACCTATAAAACATCCCAGGACGTTGCCCATATACATTGGTATATAACGGCGAAAGGTAACGGAGGTCATCGTATTGAAGTTCATTGGGCGCGGCGTGGATCCTTCGTTTATCAATCGCGACATTGCAATGCTGGCCGCCGATACGAAGATGCCGTTAACAGTTGAACGGTGTTCTTTGCACTTCGCCAAGAGGTTCTCTGTCTCAATCACTGACAACTTCAAAGGAACCACCCTGGTGCGCCCTGTGTCTTCTTCGTGAAGTTGAGGTGCTGGGAACTTTTTCAGAAATAAATTTTCACTGGGGAATATATTGTTGTAGATTTCTCTCCCAATTTCTTTGGCATCCTTCAAACGGAGCTTTAGATTTTCTTTTGGAATGAGATGCTCTGTCGTTGGTTTTAGGGTAGTGATATCGTTTTCTTCTACTGCCTCCCCTCCTATAACAGCGTTGAGAATATGGACAAGACGAGAGAGCATGATGATGTTTGACTTCCCATCTGTAATACAATGATGGAAAACGAACATAAGGATACTGGCATGCCCAAACTCACTGTCCTCAACCCCCTCCTTCTTGCCCGTTGAATGAGGCAGGCGCAAAATCTTGGCCTTCCACAGAGGCCCGTTGACAGTATCAAACCTTACTTGCAGCAAGTTTTCATACAGATCCTTCCAGTCGTCATGTTTGCTCAAATTTTGAGCTTCGAAGTCAACATGAGGATCGTCCATGAACTTGAAATGCCTTTTGACATCCTGTTGCACTACTCGCAGTCTTAGCGTTGGAAAATTCTTCTGAAGCAGAATCAGAGAACGCTCCCATGTGTCATCTGGCACGTGAGTCTTCGTGTTGATCCACACGCTGAACACGTTAGTTGTGTTACCATACTCGTGCAAGACAAACATGCCGTTTTCTAATCGACCAAGCGGCCGAAGTGTGGTGGCTTGAGATGTCATTCTGATGACACTTGTGCAAATATAAGCCTGAAAAACATGAAGTGGATAGGCTTTAATACTGAGTGCTTATCCGGGAGGTCTGTATACCAGATGCTTCTGAATGAAATAACTAACATCCCTCCTCCTTTTTACATTTATAAATATTTCAGCACTAAATAGATTTGCTTATTAGATGGTCGGTGGGCATAAACAATGGTTATTCGCTTGAATGTCTTTAAAATTGCCAGGCATGAAATATTAAAAAAATATTAAAATAAAAATAAAAAACAGGAAGGGGGACGTAAAAGTGTAAGAAATATTTGCAAAACGTTTTTTGTGATAAGTTAACGTGAATAGGGTTATTTCATCTACCGCACACATTTGCAACGGAGCTTTGCAAAGGCTTCGTGTCAAGAGATTAACGGTCAGCTTGAACTTAAAAGGATAACAACTGTTCCTTTTGACCAAAAAAATGAAATTTCTTGGGGTAAATGACAATTTTCCCATACTTGCCAATGGTTAATGAATCCATTTCAACATTCAAAGTTAGCACTCCTTTTGACGGTTCTGATATATGTACTGGTTGTGCTGCACCGTCAATAGGAGTGCTAACGCATGGATTTTTGTGCTAATATAATCAATCTCCCAGCTGAGGAGAGCGACATAACAGACGTAGACGAAACTCTGATTAGTGAGCCCCCGTATAAATGGATTTAAACAATATATGTTCCCATTGCTTGCCCCTATCAGACTAAAATGACATGCTTATTTTTGATCGCCCTGCGCCATCTTTACCGCGTCCATCTTCGAACCATAAATAATCCCTTTAAACGCCAGTGCATATTTCTCCTTAACAAAACACCTTTTAATCTTTTTAAAATGAAACAGTCGACTAACCTTTGGAATGGTTCCTCCCGTAAAATGACTGTGATTGAGACGTCAGGGCAGGTCCTATATATACATAGTTACCAGCAGTCGCGTGATCACCCAGTCAGCCTGGACCGATTATGTGGAGGTCTCGTTAAAAGACACATTATGTCAGCCTTCCATTTTAGATGCCCTATCTCCAATCCTTATATATATATACTAGCCCTACCCTTGGGACAGTCAGAGACACGTGCTGTAGGCCTACTTTAAACTTAACCGTCCCAGTTCGACACCTCCTCTCGCATCTGAACACAGCAACAGTCTTTATGCCTGCTTTTCCTGCCTTAATGCAAAGGAAACACCTAACTGCACCAAATTCAAACTCGAAGTTCCTTTATACCCCGCACGGTTCGCTTGCGTCGCGGATAAGAAAATATTGATTTTCAGTCAAGGTAAATAACGGTTTCACGTCTTGACCCTTTATCCAAGGCTGCGGGGATTATGGTACGTACGTACTGATTATGTGGCGGGAAAACCCCAGGTACATTTACAAATCCTGACGTTGTCATGGCGCTGTATTCCAGCCACCTTCTATAATTACACCTTATACTTAATTACACCTTCTATAACTACGTTTCCAAATACGTTCTATTCATATTCGCACGCAGTTTGCGTTCCACGTCCACATCACAGGTGGTCTGGGTGACCCCTGTTATATCTCCAATAGAAATAACGTACTTAAAGGTATACTGTGATGAAAAAACGGGTTAAAACTATCCGTTAGGTGCCCAAAAGTCATTTTTGAGTAATGAAAAAAGAGTTCTTACGTTTATTTAGTTTTTAAAGCCGATTTTATGCAGTTGTGAATGTAGTTTATGATACTCCCGCGTGGTGGCGCTTTAAGGCGAGTGACGTCACTAGCGTCAAGGCTCAGAAAGCCATATTCGATTCAGCTATCCGCTTGCTAGCAGTGCAAACTAAAAGCGATACACGCAATTGATCACTACATGATCATTTATAAATTCAAACTTTTGAAGATAGATACACAAAAGAAGATGAATTCCCCACGTGGTTATCATTTATTAACCAACAAAATACACCAAAACTATGTTAACAGTAAAGGTTTGGAAGCAGGGCAGCGAACACAGTTTTTCACACATTGCCCATCTGTCGCGTCGGCTGAACGTTCTTATCCCGACTGATAAGAGAAAGTTACCTAATACATGCAGGTGTGACAGCTAACATTATTTTTCACACCCGTGCAGTTTACCAGTGTCATTCCGGGAGAGCCAGGTCAGTGGACAAAAGGCCAAAGATATCGGACTGATAGCATCGGACACTACATTTCACACCTCTGCAACTTACCTCGCTACTTCTGCCTTACACGTGATCAGTGCAGCAGTATGTCGAGTAAAAATTTGATTCCACTATCATGTTAATATTAACGTTTTCACTAACATAACCAAAANCGAACATGTGAAAATCTATCTTCACACTCACTATAATATTTATTTTGAAGGGAACAAACATAAATGAGAGAAAACCTCATTGCGGAATAGCGATGCAAAAGGGGCATAAAACTTTAAATTATCCATCATGAATAAATCTAGGAAAATGGCGATCGATATAGGATATTTGAAAGACGACTGTCCGTTCAGTCTTAGTTTCAGCGCACTCCTGAAACCCTGGCTTGTGTTGCCCGTGCCTTCGTAAAGATCAAATACGTGCTCATTTTGAAAAGCTTGCTGGCGTACATTCTCAAGGTTTTAAATGTGAGTCACTCCGTCCCGTCAAGTTGCTTCTGTCAGAATTCAGTTTGGGCGTATTCTTAGCATCGTTGATATCCAGCGCCGTGTTAAATAAACTTCCATTACACTCAAATATGACTTTGCAAAAAGAAAACCATCTTGTTGCAGAATTCAGTGAATAAAAATTTCAATTTCATTTTATTTTCAACTTGATGACCTAAGAACTGTACTTATTTCAGGCATCTCCAATACACATTAGGACTATTTTAACAATAAAATAAACTTTATGTCACAATAAACAATTGTTCATATATCACATAAAAACTTACATTTAAATAAGTTAATTGTTTTATCTGTCTCTTTTACAACCCGTGAGTCACATTTCAAATCACAGATCCCTGGATTTCACCCTGAATTTCAGAGCTTTCTTCTACAATGTACACGACCTGCCCCGCCATTCACAAATGGCAATTATAAACTGATTTGTTTGGACACTCTGATACTCAGGGAGCTGTATTGAAATAGTGTACATAATCTACTGTCATCTTATGCAGAAAATTCAACTACGTATATCATAGCGTAGTTTACTATGCTTGATAGCAATTTGGTGACATATCTTGGTCAATTTTCTGTTCTATGTTCATTTGGCAGTGAACATGTCTTAACCCATGCTTTTGAGGTTTTGCTTTTAATTTATTCCTTTGAGAGGTCTAGTCTTTCTTCAAATTGCCTGTCTACAGCCCTTGATAATGCCCCAAGGTATTCTTCTAGAGTAGTTGCTGGTCGCTGGAATATAAGCCAAATTAATGTCAATGTCCTTAAAAAATATGAGGCTTAGCTGTTGTTAAGTATCTAGGTCTGATGTGAACTAACTTCCTTCATTAAATATTTTAGTTTTACATCAATGTATTTGTCTAGCTAAACATGCATGTATGGAGATTTGACAACCATAAAACATTGATTTATCATCTATCAGGATTTATGTGATAAAGCTCCCACCATCAAGTTACCCATAGCTTTAAATGTGTTTCTTTGTATCAGAATAATATACCTGTAAATACATGGCGTGAGACAAAAATGGAATTTTCCTGAGCGTTCTGCCACTCAATCCTTCACTTTTTCTGAAAAAAATTAATGACTATGACATACAACAATCTGTGGCAAAAAAAAAAAAGCCTACACAGACAAAATTGCAAATACTAGACATTTGGACTGGCAGTAATGAAAAAATTGTAGACCAATAATTTATTTTCCAAGTAAAAAGCAATTCTATGAGAGAAAAAGAGAGAGACTCACATTGCAATTTGCCGCAGCCGTAAACTCAGCTTAGTAGCATTGTTTTCTGAAAACCTCATCACCTCCAGAGCTCTCATGTCAATCAGCTGTTGAGGAGGGCTTATGATACCTGACTGGAAGAAACATGAGAGAAAAATAAAAAATAAATTAATGTGGAAGATCAGTCAATGTAAAAATACTCATGAAAATTAAAGCCATTAACTTTTTTTTTTTTTCCTTTCTCATTGACATTTTTTTCTAAATCTAATCTAGACTTGCTCACAATTTAAGCTGTGGAAAGTATATTTTTTCTCTAAGGTGTGTTACATAGGCACAACAGTAGTGCTCATGATGTTCTCCCGTGTTGTATTTTTGTTCAGATCAGTTCTGTGCAATTAAATCTGGGATCTAGCAAACTGTGATTGTCCAAACAATTATTTTTACTCTAGTTTATGACAAAAGCTCATTAAAAATTGTCAACTTCATTTATGGTGAGCAACCTGTTGGGAAAATGCTCTTGGATCAAATTTGCAAATTTGAAGTCTAAGTTAAGCTAAAAAACACACACACACACACACACACACACACACACACACACACACACATACTACTGTTTTGGTAACATGTCCCTCAAGCCTGTTTCACAAAAGAACTTCAATTTGTTCTGCTTCAGTTCAAGATAAATTAAAAGTAGTCAAATTTGCTAATTTTTTTTTTTTTAAACATGCACAATATTTCATTTATGGGACTACAACTGATTTATCCTAGATCAAAGTAGACTAAACTTTGAGTCTTAGAGTTAGGCCTAATTTACAGCCTAAATTTCTTGTCTGAAACAGGCCCTGGGACACCTAGCTGTTCCTTGATAAGCCTACCCTCATAAGTTCGTTGAGACAAGACTGGTAGATGTTATAGATAGCGGCTGGGGACGGAGGTCCTATGTACTGCTTTATGTCAGCCCTGTCAACAAAGGCCAAGTCAATGGCTCCTGTCACATTGGATGTGGTCAAGATGATCACATTAGGATTCCTGGAAGAGAGTTACCAGTAAAACAAGCTGTGAAATATATGCTAGTACACAATATAGTTTCTGGAAAGGGTTGCAAGAGAAAAAGTGTTTACAACTCACAAAGACTTAAAATATCACATTCAACCAAAATGAATTTTTGAGATTTACTCAAAGAGATCTCATGTATTAAATTGTAAGTGCAAAGTATGGTGTGAATATGTTCTTAGGTCTCACCTTTTTATTTGATCTATTTGTGTAAGTAGTGCATTGACAACCCGTATGGCATCGGAAGGCTCATTCCCAGACATGGAGGCTTTCCTGGCAGCAGTAAGACTTTCAACCTGGTCACAAAGAAAAATACAATGGCAGACACAGGATGCTGCTAAGTGTGGAGGATAGGTTGGAGAAACAACGGGACACCTTTTATTTTTTTGAAAGGAGTGAAAATCTCATCTAGAAGCTGGGAGTAATTTTTCTAGTGATATGTTGGGCACAGGGATGAAAAATTTTCATTTCAGTTCTTTTTTTTTGGGGGGGGGGGGGGAAGGAATAGAACAACTGTTAATACACAGAATAAATAAGTCCACTGAAGACTACTATTTTTACAGTCACATCAGTTGAGACTTGAACAAGCATTAACATATTCAACATAAGCTGATTAAACAGCACTAATCAAGCATGCCACATAAGAATTTCTAAACAAATAAATTACAGCACAAATGACAGAAATCTTTATTCATCAACTGGATTAAAAGGGTGCTAAAAATGGATAAATGTTCCTGCACATCTTACAAATTGGTAATATCTGAACACAGGATACAGAAAATGTATTCATAAGTGTTACAGAAGTATAATGAATAAGCAATAGATGCACCACGAGGTGAATGTGATACACTGAACATTGAGAACAAAAAAAAAAAAAAAAAAAAAAAAAAAAAACATACGTGGTGGAATCCCATTCAAGTGTGACTTGCATGTTTGCAAGATGTACCACAAAAGGTTCTTTTCCTCTCTACATTTCATCTGTTATACAGAAAAGAAGTAAGAATGCTTGTTACGCACCTCGTCTATGAGCACACAGACCAGCGCCTCAGGATCATCTATCAATTCCTGGATCTTCTGGAACATCTTCATCACCAACTTACCACTCTGAAAATAATAAATTGTAAAAAATATTACACCCTTTTCATCATCCTCAAGCAATTAACATCAAAACCAAATAAATATTATTAATGTTTGCTCTCCACTGTGGCTTTGCCAAACTTGATTTCTTCAATGACTTCACATACAGGGTGAGACACTCTAAATGCACACATTCTACAATATCATTTTCCTGCCAAACACTGTTCTTTCACACTGCATGATAAAAACTATACTACAATTACAACGCATCTCAAACTAGCTGAGCTAAAATCACCACAAAACAAAGTGGAGACAAAGTTTGACAAGAAGAATTTTTTTAAAAATAAGAAAAATACTTTGATCATGGAAATAATTACCTATATCCTTGTGGATATAACTTACCTCAGAGAACCACTTTGAGAATAGGCTATGGCTATTTATCTCTATAAGCTGACCATAGCTGTACCTATCAGATAATCGAATTGCCAGTTTCTGGGCCAATGCCTTACATAAAGATGTCTTCCCTGTGCCAGGTGGACCTAGAATGAAAATGGAAAGGAATGTACTGGAAAAAAATTCTGCTAGAAATAATATTACTCTATTCACTTTCAAGTAAATCTCGTCTTGCCTTTTTTTATATTTCACTTTTTCAAGTTTTGTCATTTTCAGGCACTCACAAAAAGAAAGACAAACAACTTTTCAAGGCATTGGAGGTAACATTCTGAGAAAGTGTTAATAAAATTATAAGTGGCAAAATAAATCCATGCTGTTTGCATTAATTGAGTAATTACTCTAACATTAAAAATTCCAATTTCAGTAATCAGCTCAAATTGAATTTGAGATAATAGGCTTTTGCTAAAATTGTAAATTATATGTTACACTAATCCCACTCTGACACTTATAACTTGTCTCAGTTTTTCAAATATAATGTTATTAATACCAAATAACAAAATGAACAAGCAAATAAACAATTTTACAATATAAAGGGAAAATCTCAGTGCCAAATAAACCCTATAACACAGCTCACCATGTAAGAGTACCACTCTGTTCCAAGATATAATATTACTGTCTACTTTTCTGTCTGAGAAAAGGAGAGTTGTTGAAGCATACTGTAACAGCTAGAAATATAATACACAACATTAAATGAATATCAAATGAAAACAGAGAGACAATAATTTTTATGATACAAAGTGTCTTTCAATCTCAGAAGATGATGCCAAGCCATACAACTCTATTATAGTAATTATCTTACCAAAGAACTTGAACCAACAGGTATATTTGAACTTACCATTGTGGATTATCAAAACCAACCTTTTTTCTGCTTTTGGAAAAAAGTTACCATTCCAAAACACCAACTTCTAACAAAAATGAGTCAATTAAGAAATCAAATCACCCATTTCCCATTAAATTATAGTCATCTTCCACAAAAAAAAAAAGTTTTGGAAGCTCTAGAGGGACCAAGATATATTCCATCATAGACTAAACACCTACTTGATTTTTTATATCTGAATCAAAGACCAAGCTATCCCATAACCCATCAAAGTCTCTGGTTGGTAAAAGCCAATGGCTGGCAGCTGCCAGATCTTCCTCATCCAACTCTTCTGATGCAGGCCCGTCTTCATTGAGCTGATACACATGGATGAGGAAGAAGGCCGAACACAGGTCTATTGGCTAGGAGGCAAAAAGAGAAAAAAAAGAAGATATTACTTATAAGAAAACTTAGCAGTACCAAGTCCATAAATATAAAGACTGCCATTAGTGCACATTTCAGTGTTTCCCTCTGTCTGACCTACTTCCTCTCTGATCCAGTACCTGTCTACCTGTCTCTGTGTCTAAATCTGCTTCATAGGGCACATTCAGAACAAGGTGATCTGCAGACTAACAAATCTGTGGATCAAATATGGCTAACCCACTTGAAACCTTATTACATAATCCCCTAATAGACACTGAACAGATTCCCCGTAGGGATTGCACTGTAAGCTTTCAAGTAGGTCAGTCATATTTGATCCGTGGATCTGTTAGTCAGATAAACTTTTGTCTTAAGGGTTTTATTGTCTTTATAGAGTCTAAATTGGGAAATATAAGAAGCTTTACAGGACATTAATATTACTCTGGACGATTTTCAAACATGTGGAAAAAATTCTTAAAATACATTTTGGTAGGAAAATCCTGTGGAGTGGCTGTTTAAGGTAGACCAGCTCCCTATGAAATTTTCTGAGATCTTTCTAACTGTGAAACTCAAGAAAGGGCAGTGGTGTCAATACTCCCCTTCAAAAACATCCCTCCTGATTATGGAGGAATATTCTAAAAAAAAGAAAGAATAAATACAGCTCCATAATGGAAGAGCATGGGTCAGTACTTGCCTCTCTTTCCTTCTGCATTGAATGGATATCACAAACTGCTACAGTGTGGACATGTTCTTGTAGGAATGGGTCATCGAATTCTGTAAACACTAAATCATGATAGGCAACCCTTTGTCGCTGGAGTAATTTTTTCACATGATCTTTTATTATCACACCAGATACAGCACTGCAATGAAAAAATGTCAATTCGTGACAACCTTTAGAAGAATTACGGCTCAACTACATTTGATTTTTATCTGTCTGAGCATTTTTAAACCAGCCTGCTGACTAGGGGGCCTTTAAAAAGCAGCTATCTACTGGGTACAATTTTTAAACAAAGGCATCTCATATTTGATGCATAATTCTGTCCAGCAGCACTTTAAAACTGTTTTCAAGCAGGAGAAATGAAAGCATTACAGCATTAGAATTTAAATTACTTCAGGCATTCAAAATTTTGTTGATGGCAACCCATAAGAGTTTAAATGTTGGCAAATTGATGTAAATCTGTTGGCTTTTCGGTGTTAAGTTCAGTTGAGAAAGGAGGGAAAGAAATGATGCAGGCTGGACCCATTGGCCAACTCAGAGCCAGGGCATTCTGCTAGTTATCTACATCCAACACACTCTGGCAGGGGCGGATTGAGGCCGTCTTCTGGATGATGGTCAGCTTTTCAAGTTTACATTGATGAGTATCTAATTTTTTTCTGTTGGAAGATGGTCAAAAATAGAGGATGGATCAACAAAGATCATTTGGAAGACAGTCACTGAGTCAGAAAATAGCTCTGGATCCGCCCCTTCTCTGGCATCTAGCACACTTAGCATGGAAGATTTTTGTGTTAGCTCTGGTAAAGATATGTGTACTTGTCTTTGTAAATAACTGCACATAATTGTTAATTTATGCTTAGATTGTTAAATGTAAAACAAAAACTCTACAACACTGTACAATGTGTGCCGAAACTGTCTACTAGTAACATTTTAACTTTAGCTACAGAATATTATAGTGGTATGAATTACGGGACTTTCCTGAAATATACATTTTTGTTTTCCATCCTGGACCATTACATCATTTCTTTACCTGCTCGAATTTTGACAAACATCAACATGAACGGCCAGCTGCACAGTGTGAGAATCGGGAAGTGCGTCTTCGAGATCAGACACTTGATCCATGATAAAACAAAACCCCTGAACCGTTGTTGCAAATTAGGATAATTCTCCCTCTTCTGTATCACTAAGTGTTATTGGAATCTTTTGATTCAACTGCAAATAGTTAAAATAATAACACAGAAAATTAAAAATATATCTTTCGCTTTGGATTCCTTTTCAAAGTGTCCGCCATGTGTGATCTCCAATAATGATGGTCTCGCGAGATTTGGAATGGACTCGTCTGCTTACAATCCGTGTAGTTTTCAGTTTTTATCTGGTTGGCCTATTCAAATTGTTATTAGACGATTTTGAAGCACTCGTTATATTGAATGAGTAAATGAAGCTTTTCTGATTCTTATGGCGGTTTTGAAGTTTTAACAAACGAACTTGAATAACGTCTTTGTAAAGCTATCTTCCCTCCTATTCAGCCGTGCTCAAGATAGCTACTCCTTCCGGTGGCATGGCAGCTCTCAAGCGAAAGAGTGAACCTTTCGCTGACAGCGAAGAAGCTTGGGAAAAGAAGCCAAAAGCTATGTCGATGTCTTTCAAAAAGTGGGGAGTTGAAGAAGTGTGTGATTTCCTCACGCAGAATGAGTTGGATGCAGTTATACCGTTGTTCAAAGGTAATTACCACACTTAAAATTTAATATACTAGTACTTTGACAAGTGCTAGTGACACAAGTCTGTCAAGTCTGAAGCCTCATTTTTCAACCGGTGTTTTTCAATAAGTTGTGATGACATTATCATAAGAACGATTTATTTCGGCAGACACTTTTTAAGTAACATCAGATTTTCTAGTCACAACTAAATAGTATCAGTTTGTAATTTTTGAACAAACGTTACTTTATAGTAACAATTACTAGTAGCCAAATCTTATTTATTTATTTATTTATTTATTTGTGTTGAGAGTTATTTCTCCACTTAAGTGCAAAATTCTTGAATATTTTCCTTTCTCTCACACCTTTACATGTGCCTCACTGGTTAAAAGCCAATTAATTTTACTGCCAGTTGAGATGCCCATTACATATGTATGTTTTGGGAAAACTGATTAATTGGCTCTTCCATACCCCCTCCCAGCAATCCAGCCATAAATTTATAGCACAGTTTCAAGCACATAGATTTCATTTTATTTTAGTGCCTGCTACTCTTACTCTAGTGCTTGCATATACTGCTAGTCATTGAAAATATGAGTAGGGCTGCCAAAATTGATAACTTAGATCTGCATTGTTATTGGGACAACAAGTGTTCATTTTTGCAAAAATAAAAAATAAAATAAAATAAAATAAAATAAATAAAATGAAAATAAATAAATAAATATTCCTGGGGTAAATGATAATTTTCCAATACTAACCAGTGGTTATTGAATCCATTCAGACATTCAAAATTAGTCAATCCCTTTTTTTTAATTGATAGTGAATTTGATAACAAGTAAGGAAATTATCAATCCTGCCTTCTAGGTTAAGCAACACTATTTAGTTTCACTTTCGGTATTGAAAAAAAATACGAACTCATGAAAAAGCAAAAAGGAATTTGAAAAATGCTGTAAACAGGAAACTTGCACCCTATGCTGTAAAGTTTTAGATAACGTTGAATTTCACAAATTAAAATTATTTAATTAGGCAGGACAGTGTTCTGAATTTATAAACTAGACATGTTGAGATTCACCTATTACATGCAAGTGGGCAAAGATTTATAAGCAAGTAATTGCCTTACAGAATGAGTAAGGTATGTCTATAAATATAAATAAGCAAAACTCTAGTGCAAAAAATGCAAAAACCAGTAAGACTTGAATGAAAAAATAGCATTTACGGGGCACGTGTAAAAAAATGATAACTTAAAGGANTTTTTTTCATTTAAGACAGCCCCATAAACATGCAACGAACACTGTGAAAACTTTTAAGGGTTATAATTTTTTGTTGTTTTTTTTGTATTGATGACTTAATTTTTTTTTAGAAAATTGTAGTTGGAGATTTGATAACCCGATCCTGCTCCCCTGTGTGTGTATCAGCGACAATAGGGGCGTCAATTGAATGCTGCACCAGTGACCTGTGTAACACCGCCATATCCAGCCTGCCTGCCTATCGTCTGCTGGCCGTAATGGTCGCCATTGTAGCTGCCCTCTGGAGACTCCTTTTGGAGTAGAGTTGAAAAGGGAAGCGGAACTCATTTTCTTACATATCCAAGACGCTACTTTTTAGTGAAATGCTTTGACTCTAATTTATAATCAAATTTCAGCGTTTTTTTTTTCATACGCAATTTGAAAACAAGATTTCAGTTAAAAAATGATGATATGACGATTTGGCAGAACATACCCTTGAAGTGTCCCTTCATATCTAAGATCTTATCCTTTCTGGATATAAATCTGATAAAGCGTACGATGAATTTGTATGGGTACAGATTTAACTACTCCAGCCAGACTTTGTTTATGTAGATGTGATTCTGATTAAATGCAGTTTAAAGGTACAC